TAGCCTTGAAGATGGCTTCGCGCGACTTCTCGTCTGGCAGAGGAATGTAGATCAGCTGGTCGAGGCGACCCGGACGCAAAATAGCCGGATCAATGATATCTAGTGCCAAAGTATTAGCAACATACACGCAACAATATATCGATTGTAAACAAACCTGGTCTGTTCGTAGCCCCAATGATAAAAACGTTCTTCTTAGCGCCCATACCGTCCATCTCCGTAAGAATCTGATTGATGACTCGATCAGCAGCACCTCCAGCATCGCCAACATTTCCACCACGAGATTTAGCAATAGAATCCAATTCGTCAAAGAACAACACACAAGGACTTGCAGATCTAGCCTATAATACCCCACATGTTTTAATAAAATAAATAAATGTTATCATTTAACACCTACCTTATCGAAAATATCCCTGACGTTAGCTTCAGACTCACCAAACCACATCGTCAACAATTCCGGGCCCTTCACCGAAATAAAGTTGGCCTGACACTCGTTGGCAATCGCCTTAGCCAGCAACGTCTTACCACAACCGGGCGGTCCATAGAAGAGCACACCGCGCGATGGCTGCATGCCAAACTTGAGGAACTTGTCCGGATGCTCCACTGGATACTGCACCAATTCTTGCAGTTCACGCTTGACACCTTCCAGGCCACCAACGTCCTGCCACGTAACGTTCGGCACCTCAACGACAGTCTCACGCAGGGCGCTCGGACTGCTCTTAGACATAGCGTACCTGAAGTTCTCCATGGTAACAGCCAGTGAAGATAACACCTCGGCGTCAATCTGATCGTCCTCCAAATCGATCAAGTCCATCTTTTCACGGATTTGCTGGAGTGCAGCCTCCGAGCACAAAGATGCCAAATCAGCACCAACGTGACCATGAGTCTCAGCAGCGATCTGTTCAAGATCAACATCATCATGTAACTTCATATTCTTGGTATGAATGCGCAGAACCTCCAAACGACCAGTTGCGTCGGGGATGCCGATGTCAATTTCCCTGTCGAAACGTCCAAAACGACGCAGAGCCGGATCGATTGAGTTGGGGCGATTCGTTGCCGCCATAACAATGACATGCGAGCTCTTCTTCATGCCGTCCATAAGCGTGAGCAACTGCGAGACAATACGACGTTCAACCTCGCCATGAGTCTTCTCACGCTTAGGTGCAATAGCATCTAACTCATCGATGAAGATGATAGCCGGGCTGTTCTTGTCCGCCTCTTCGAACGCCTTGCGCAAGTTGCTCTCAGACTCACCAGCCAATTTACTCATAATCTCTGGGCCGTTGATCAAGAAGAAGAAAGCGCCGGTTTCGTTAGCGACGGCACGCGCAATTAGAGTTTTACCGGTACCAGGTGGGCCGTAAAGCAAAATACCACGCGGCGGCTTCACACCGATCGCCTTAAAGAGCGACGGATGACGGAGTGGAAGCTCTACCATCTCCTTAATCTGGGCGAGCTGTTTGCGGCAGCCACCAATGTCGTCGTAGCCGACGGCATTCAGCGAGTCCTCCTCTTCCTCGCGCTTAATCGGGTCGCCATCACAATGAATCACAGTGTCCGGAGCCACGATGCAGAACGTCTCGGGATCGGTTCCGACCACTTTAAATTCGACGGCACGCATACCACCTCTTATCATGAAGACGTCGTCGGTGTGAATCGGCCGGTAGGCCTCCAGGAAATACGGTTTGATGTAAACTTCAAACAAATTTCTACCAAGGAAGGAAATAATTACAATTTGATAAATTACAGGATTTTAGTTGTTATATTTACCCAGTAAGTCCTTCAACGGTATCATCAATAGGCAATACGTGAATGCGCTTGCCGTATTTGATGCCGGGGCACGGCTGAATCGAGACGACGTCCGAAAGACGAACACGTAGATTATTGCGCACGATACGATTCATGCGAATCTTCTCGTCGGGGCAGGAATCGTCAGCCAGAACGATGGCGACGGTCTCCTTGCGCCGCTTGCCCTTGAGCAATACGGTGTCGCCACGGAAGAGCTGCAGCTCGTCCATCTTCGCCTGCGAGAGCGCGACCACGGAATTGTCATCGTTGACGGCCTCCTCGACGAGAAGACGGTTTGGGCGATCCTTCTTGCGCAAGATCGCGGTTGCCAAATCATCAGGACTGCAAATTAACACACACAGTTAACACACGAGTAAAATGCTTGTTGTGAAAGTCTGTCACAAGTTTCCTTTGTTTGAATGTTTACGATATGCGGTTATTTCGAAATGTGATTCCCCTCAATATAAATAATAATACAATCAATTCAGAAAATTTTCCGCTTATAAGGCAGTTGCAATGAGCTTCTCCTTAAATTACAAAAACCATAGAAGAATGTACATAACAAATGTTTTTTTACTCATTCGTAGGGGATGTATGTATGGGTGGGTGCTTTATTATATCCAAAACGGATAAAAAGAGATTCTTAAATGTTGCAGTTATTCAACTGCCAGAAATAATTCGGCAAATGCGCCGAGTCCACCATGATGACAAGTGAAATCGGCTCGACGGTTCGTGTGCACGGCATCGCATACGCAAATGTCGTAACTAGTGAAGCCGGAACCGGCTAACGTCGCACGAACAACGAAAATCAAACGAGCGCCATTGTATGCAATCGACTTACCTCTTATCGGTCATCTTGGCGCTTCGCTGCTGCGCTCGGAACGGGAAAAGTACGTGGAAAGCGGGCAAATGAAGAGTAAAACGTTTTTCACCGGTCGTCCGCACGAAACAGAACCAGCTCGGTCTCAGGTGACGATCGTTAGCTAGCGACTACACGAACTGCACGCACAGGATGACGGGCCGAACGAGTATGTGCTGAATGACGTTGCCGAATCAGCGTTTTTGACAGCCGCTTATATGACATCTGTCGGGCGTTTCCGTACCACGCGACAACACACGAACAGTTAAACGTCTGGTGCGTTCTTTGTTTCACTCTAATATGTCGGAATGATGTTGCCCTTGTCATTATTAGAAACGCAATGTCAGAATCATTTTCTTACACTGTTTCATCAGCTCACTGCGAATTACTACAGCGTCCCCCTCGAAAACAACGGATGTTTCTAGAAAACCGACGTGTTCGAATCAGAATGCACCACACGCAACCCATTTACCACGAAAACAATTAATATATTGCCATAGTAATTTTAAACAAATTTATTGGTTTTGAATAAAACTATGTAACACTTACAACATATTAATCACGTTTCTAATCATACATTAAACACAAAATAAATATCTTAAAACTTTGATTTTTGTACGTCCGCATCTTCTTTTCGATGCATTTTTGAATGTCTTACAAGATGCGCCTTCTGCGAGAATCGCTTCTGACAAAATTCACACAAAAATGCTTTCTCACCCGTATGCACCAGCATGTGCTGATCCAGCTGCCCTTTCGTACTAAACGCTTTACCACATTGATCGCAGTAGTAATTCTTCTCGCCGGTATGAATTTTAACGTGTGTGTTGAGATTACTTGAACTTGCAAACCTCTTCGGACAGTACACACATGCGTAAGGTCTCTCGCCAGTATGTATCGCAATGGTATGCTTTGTCAACTGTTGGGCAGTTGCAAAAGCCTTCGGACAAGCAGAACACACGTGATTTTTCTCACCCGTATGCGTCCGCATGTGCGTATGCAAATGTCCACCGTTGATAAATCGCTTATCGCACAAATGACACACGTAAGGTCGTTCTCCGGTGTGGATTCGTATGTGTCGCACCAGACACGGCTTCGAAAAGAAGACTTTATTGCACATGTCACATCTGTGATCTTTATTCTGCGCATTTTGAACTTTGTTCTTTTTCGCGGCGCTTTTACTATTATTTTGCTTATTATTTTCTTCAGGTTGTTCAGTTACATTATTAAATTCTATATAACTTGTTGGCACTGGTGAATTATCAACCAATTGTTGTAATTGTAATGATTCAGCTGAATTTAGTATTAGTTGATCATCCGAATTAAATGTTAACTCTTTGTTTTGCATTTGAACTGTGGAAACTTCAAGTAATTCATATTTTATTGCTGCGTTCTCTAAGCCGTCGCTGTATAATATTACGTTTTCGTTCTTTTCGATTTCTTCTGGATGTTGCTGAAGCGTCGCAATGTGGACATCGGGATTTTACGCGGCCTGAATGCGCTGCATGTTTTCCAATGCTTGGCGCAATCTGGCGTCTGCCATTTCACATTGAGTTTTGATTTGGAAGGCTATATTTAATTTGGATATGCATTTTGTGCATATATTTCCAGGCAAATTATCATCCTGGGATATCTGAAATTAAATGATATTTAAAACTAACTTGATGCAACAAATACAAAAATTACAAAACTATAGTTATGAAAATAAACAACCCTTTAATTTATGTTCAGAAACATTGTGGATGTGATATTGAAATATTCATCACTTAAAAGAAGTATAATAATAAAAAGCCAGCAAGATATGTGAAAATCTAATTACTACGTTGTCTTGTATTAATTTGTGTTTTAAAAATTCCGGTTGTATTCGATTTGTGTTCACCTGTACTGAAGCACATGCCATGATAAGTATGGAGAAACTCGGTGGTTTGCTTCCGTCGAAGATTGGCACGAGTTTGGACGCCTTCTCCAGACATATTCGACATATTGAGTCTGCGTTCGTCGTCAGGTAATAGCTGAGGTAGTCACTTGTTTGTGCATTGCTTTTCGAATCACAAGACATATTTTTGTTTACAGAAAACAAGAGCCACTGGCGAATGTCAAAACGCAGATATTGAAGGCACGCACATGCGCAGTAATGCAATAATAAATCGCGTCGAATAAACAAAGAGTCCATATTGTAGATAATAAACTTCGGTATAAATGTACTAATATACTGTATAAGTTTGTAAGTAATAAAAGTAATGCATATTGTTGCAAACTCTTAAAGAAAGTGCAAAAAAGCAAAGTGTAAACTTAGTTGCCTACTTCTGAAGTTAATCAATTGTGAAAAGCAAACATTTACTTCAATAAATCGCGTATACTGAAATAATTTATTTATTTGTAGTTTACTTTCCAAAATATTCTATTACTATCAAGAAACTTCTCATTTAAAAACTTGTCCAAATGCAAATTGTCCAAATGTCTATGTTTTATTACAATTTTAACATGTTAAAAAACAACTTATTGAATGTCCTTATCCATTTTGAGAAAAATGCACTAAAAAGTGCAAAACTTCTTAATTTATAATAAACATAGTTGCAATGTAGAAGAGGTATGTGTTATTTCTTTCCAGATTTCTTGATTCCCCCACTGACCAAGGGTCCTTTTTGGCCAGCTTTGTTCTTAGCATCTGCAAGAGCCTTCTGTGCTTCTTTTTGCTTCTGCTTGAAAGCTAAATCTTCCTCATCCAAATCTTTGTCGGCCTTCTTTGGCGCCTTCAGAGGCTTCTTCTTTCCACCTTCACGTCCAGACATTCTGTCACTAAATTTAACGGTGAAATTTAATGTATTATTGACACAAATCGTTTAATAACCTCAAAGGTAAACAATTAAAAATGAATATTTTAAGAGGTCGTACTTAATTATAACTAGTAACTATTAAATATATACCTTAAAATTTACGTAGAAGAATATAAATGTACAAGTAACTGTGTTCCGCCTCGAATTTGGCCCCAAAGAGAATGTCAAGAGCACAGAACGTGAAAACCGATCCGCGACCAACGTGCTCCTGACATGCGATTCGAAGCGCGCTCTATGGAAACGAAAAGTACTTAAAAAGTATGCAACCCAACTACATCATTTGTTTGCAAGGCAATAATTACTACAATTTAAACTTAATTTATCTCTTTGAGAATCACAAAGAAAATGTGCAAAATTCACCTATTTCAGATTTATTAATTATTTAAAAACTTAGTATTATTTAACAATCGTACTGTGTACTCGCAAATTCGCGTGAGACGCATTTTCCTGGCGCAACTGTAAACCAAAATAAAATCTAATATCATCGAGTGTTTAAGGCAAGTGTTTTTTGTTCATCAGGTAACTTATTAACTCATTCAGTCAGTTTCAGTTCAGAATCATCCGCTAAATATTGTTCGTCGCCTAATCTAGTCGCGCTGCTCTGCATAGGTTTGCGACACACGAAAAACACGCTTTCATATTCATACTGCAACATAGCTTTCGGATTTTGACAATATCTAGTCTTCAACGCAATCTCCTTCTTTTCCATAATAAAACCAACGTTCCTAATAACACTGCAGAGAATTTCAAAGCTAGGCTCGATGCTCTTCTCGTTTTTCATATCAGCGTAATGATATAGCAACGGGCCGAGATTCACCCACACACCACCCGGTTTCAGAATATGATAAATCGTCTCAATAAACTGGACAACATTAGCGGCACAATCAATGAAAAAACAAGTGGCGATACAATGCCACTCATCTAAATCCGTGTACACCTCGAGAAAATCTCCGGCGACCATCGAAAATTTGTTATCAAGATCTAATTTTGGCAAAACATCGGGAAAACGTACGCTAATAGTCTGATTCTCCGCAGAAAGATTGTTGCAATACTGATGTATCCACGGATAAATCTCAAACTCTTCCTCCTTTTTACAATGGTTTAAAACATAAAAAGAAACAATCAGCATGAATAGATTGAATTCGTTTCCTTGGCAACTAAATTCACGCGATGCAATCTCAAAAGCAAGTCTGCCGAGACCTGCGCCAGGCACTAAAACGTTTATATCTGGACGGTGAACAACATCAGCCGGGAATTCCTCCTCTAAAACTCTAATTATTGGATCGTAACATTGTCCGCGTTCTTCAGCGCCCATCTTGCTCCAGTCCCTCATTAAATGCTTGAAAACTGACTGGACTTTATCCAAGCCCTCAGAGAGACTGCCCACATTTGTTTCGGAGTGCGTTGTCGTGTCGTTGATGTAAATATTTCCGAATATATTCTTTGCATGATCCACAATAATTGGAACTAAAGTTGAGTTGGCCTCCACCGCGTGTTTGAAGCTATCCAAATCACGTTTGTACTTTTCCAGCCATTCTTTATGGTGTTGGGGAAGAGTGGCGAGACACTCTTCACGGTGTTCGATGCGTAGAAGCGATTGACTCCTTGTAAATCGGCAGAAAAACGCGTATTGTTAAAAAGTTAGGTTAAGATTTCGAATCGGTGGAAGATGTTTTACCTGTAGCTTTGGAAGGTTTGTAGTACCTGCAGGAAGTACTCGCGTTCTTCGGTAGCGCCTTTGATTTGTTTATGCATTATTCTTGGCAATCGCGCACTATCACTGAGATTAACTTTATCACATAATGTTGTGACTATCGGCTGCGGGTTGTTAACTTTGTGCCGGCCAAAAAAACAAACTTTCTGTACGTGTATAATTGGTTGCCAAGCAATAACTTATTAAAATTAATTTAATAAGCGACTATGTCAACAAATATTAATAAAACAACTAAGAAATTAGTATACTTTATATATAGTTAAAATTATTTTTTAGTATTACTACATCATTTTAATTGGATGAATTAAAAATAAATTATATGCTCTGACGTCCCATACTTGACGCAACCAAAGATACACCAAAGTAAAATCGTGAAAACCTTCACTTTTTGACGTCAAAACGCAGTAAATTGTTCATATAATCCACAAATAATACATACATTTATTAATAATAGCGTATTATAACATTATTTACTAAAATTTTATAGATTTTACGTGGATTATTCAAATTCAGCGCATATTCCGTTCACCTGACAGCGACTAGCGCAACCAGATGTTTTTTTCTCAGCGGGGTGCAGCGGGAACCGCACGAAACACACTCACACAACCACAACCAAACTGGCAGGCCCCCTTCGAACAGCTGACTAGTAGCTCGCTCGCCAGTGTTCTGTCAACACGCGCATAAACATAAACACTCAGATCCGCCGTCGCGAGTAGTGCCAAAGTGCCAGCCTGCCAGTCTGCCATTATCACAAAACGCTGGTGTGGCAATCGCAGCGAACATTCCCGGTAGCCATTCGAACAATCTTGAAGAAAACGCGAGGACTTTAGCTGCACAAAAGCCTCTGTCCATCGGCGGCCATCCCAGAAGGAAGCAAGCGGATAATGTCGAATCGCAAGCTGAGACACTATCTGTCGGGTGCGATCATATAGCACACGGCGAGCGGACGTGAGGACAAGCAATCAAGAAGGTGAGTTTCATCATAACACTTACGAAAACAGCGTGAAAATCGTGTGGCAAAGTCAGCGGAAAATCAAAGAAGTTGGCGTGTTACAAAATGGTCGTCGCCGTGCGCTCACACGGCGATTGGGCGATGATCGTCTTTGTTCCCGGTGGATACGTTGATATCTTTTTATTTTCTCCAAACCACAACTGTCTGTGCAAGTAAAATGATTGAAAATAAATTAAAAACATAATTTTTTCTATCGAAACATGACCTCTCTTTAAACCTTTGTTTCAACTTCAACTACACAAGTCAATTGAGTTTAATTGAGCGTAGGACGAGTTCACATTAAGTCATTTATTATTAAATCATTCACATTCAAATCATGCAAATTGTACGTTCTCAACTTATGATTTTTTTTTTGCGTGCATGTGACTTAAGTGCGGTGTATTCGCTGTCAAATGTCATCGTATCGTACACAGCTGGTCGTGCGCTGCCATTTTATCTACAGGTCCACCAGTCTACCACATTGGCTTTGTAAAGTTATAAATAAATGCTCCTCACATTCTCTGTTGCAATCTGTCCGTGCGTCATCCGCATGCCGCCTCCGCGGTGGTGGCGGTGTGGGTTTAATGCACCGCGAATTAACATTGATTCCGGGGTGTATTTTTAACCATCGCTGCGGTATCAACCTTTCAAGGAACACCGAACACGAATTTAATAACGCTAATTATAAGATGTGCTAATTAGCTGAGCTATCGGCGCGTTTGTATTTTAACCCGACGATGATTTAACTTTCGATTGTTCCAACGTCTGAGTCAGACATCCGAATACAATCAAATAATATTTAGACGAAATAATGAGCCGCAACAAATAACTTTTAATTAGCTGAATTAATTTTTAATTGAATAATGTCTTCGTGTAGCTAGGTCAAGCGAAATATATTGAAATATTCAACGAGTTGTTTTATTCAGCAGAATTTTCCTTTTTCCCCATATAGAAAACACCGTTTTTATTAAACTTTAAAAGAAAATGTTTAAAAATATGATGTCATGGATGACGTACGTACATGATGTCGAATGTAACGGAAATAAGCATTATGGAAGAATTGGCAGTCGGTATGGGCCGCCACGTCAAACGCGCCGTTGGGTCGATAAAGCAAAACTTGTTTTCCAAAGTCAAACAAAATGAATACCGGTGGTATTTATGAATCAGATATTCCACTGCACACTGAATAAATACTTGGTTGCGGTCACGGCGAAGGGACAAGGCCCTTAATTGCCATGCTCCGCTTCGATTTAACATCGATTAACAAACCGTATGCTGTTTGTCATGATAATTATATGTAGGCAATGATAACAGACCGGAAATTCAGCATGCGAATAAAATCAATTGTACACAATGCAACAATTTCAGGCGCACTCCTGTAATAAATTTTCCATTAACTGCCGATCTTCTTATATTTATTTAATGATTATTTCTTAATATAGGTTTCCCTTTGTTGATTTTCATCTTTGCCACTTAGGTCAACTGTTGAATACTGCATTTTATCCACGCGTCTTATTTTATTTACGTATATTTAAGTATTTCCAAGTATTCTGTTAATTTTATGTGATATTTATCGGTTGGCAACAAACGATAGGCGAGTTTCCACGTCCTTGAGTGCCACAAAACATCATTACGGTGAAATAAAAACTACAAACGAAATTTCAGTGGGTTGAACGACATTCTACAATTGCCATGCCTCGCCTATCAATGTAGGTAAACTTTTATTGCCTATTGACCGATACTAGTAAAAAAGCGATATTTTCCAACCTACGAATTGGTTTAAACATTCTTTCAACTTTTTGCGGCTTAATTATATTTCGTTAATTGATTCGTCAGTGTTTATAAATAAAAAGTTATTGTTTGATCAATTTTTGCTTCACTTTTTCACTTTATTCAATTGTATCTTAAATAGACCAGTTAATGATTATTAACTTGGGCATTAAGCAAACGCACTACGCATCTCACTTTCATTTTTACCGTGAGTGTTGCTAGTGTTGAGCGTTTATTGCAACAATTTGCAATAACAATTATCATGTACTCATAGTGTGCTTGAATCATGCGCGATTGTTTGCTCAAATCACTTTTGTGCGCGCTTGTTTGAGATTTTCACTTTTGTTTTATTCAAACAAAACGAACTACTTAATAACGCTTTAACATTCGATATGAATAAAGAAACCATTTTCTTTGCAATTATTTATAATTACAAAATTATTCCTCAATTATTTCGAAAATGTGTGCTACGTAACAGAAAAAAAAAACGGTGAAAATTTAAACTTTCTAATCTTGATGGAACAATTTGACACAATTTGACAAACAATCGGTGTTACGTGTAGATGTGTGTGAGTTTCATACTTCATACTTGATTGAATATTCCGTTATTGTCTTTATTCAATTATACGCGATCTCATTTTGCGGTTGGAAATATTTTTAGTCACGGAACATATCACAAGAAAATATAAAATACTATAACTATGCAATTATTCTGCTGCATATAATTCGTTGACATTTTGTTTGACGATTATGCAAGTCCCACCGAAATATGAGTAAATCCATCATGCGTGCTCAGACATTTAATCATTGACGTAATGCCTCATGATAAAGAATAAACGAGTCGATTAATTAAGAAATCACATTTACGAGCACAACCGACAATTATTACGATATATCATTATATATTTCCATTCTATTTGCAACCTCATGCAACATTGCAATCTTATTCACATCCTGAAACCGCTCATTAGAATATGAGCCGCGTGTCTACCTATTAATTATGTAGGAATTGCTTATTTCGTTTAGGATAATACAAAGTGCTTTTAAAAAATGTTGCAAGTAAAGTTTTTTTTTTAAACTTTAATATATGAAGTCATACCATTGTCCTAATACACTTTGTATATAAAATATTTATTAGAATAGAATTCATACAATGTGTATTGTAGTAATTTCATGATTATAACCAATACAATTCCTAACACGTTACTAGGCTATCATTACCGCTCACCGCGCCGTGCGTAATTATTATTAACAATTATGTAAGCGGCGACTTTCTCTGCACGCTCGAGAGAGCGCTCACTGCGGAGAACTTCTGATGAGCGAGCACATATGTGTTGATATTATTTTTGCTTATATTCGCAAGGAAGTTGAAAAAATCCAAAGAAGAAAGAAAATATTCAGATTTTTTGCTGTACTTTTACTTCGCGTAATGTGATTTTAATTTAAAGACATTCTATTTTCATTATATTTTAAATTTAAAAGTACCGTGGATAAAGTGTATTATTCCTGTGTAATAAACCTACATTTCCGTTTAAAACCTCCTTAGAAATTCCAATTTAGTTTTCCAAATCAATTACGCTTGATTCAAATTCCAAGACATCCAAGAGAGATTCGCTCACCAACCAACCGCCTTGATCCGCGATCAATGCTCAATCAATGTCTACGATCGAAGTCACTTGGGTTACTTGAGCAAGTCAATTAGCTTTCGCCGATTTCGCGACCGTTTCAAGAATTCGAATTAAGCACACACGCGCGGCGCGCTGACGCAGATTCTTTCTCTTAATTCATCACGTGCTTATGCAGTCATGCGCCTCACATTCATATACAGATAAATAGTAAATTGGTTATGAACTATTTCGGCTTAGAAGCCACTGAGAAATAAAATTTAAGTAAATTGGAAATACGAGTATAAATAATCCTAGTTTGTCTCATTAAAATACTTATCACTTCGGAATATAACTTGGTGTAAATTTTCTATTTTCAAATGTTGGCTATTTGTTTACCTTGTATTATTTTATGTTTTGTGACTTCCTTGTGCTGTGTTACTTAATTTGTAGTTTTTCGTGTTTTGAGTGTTCATGGTTCACTCTAAACATGGGTGGTTTGTTATCTAGGCTCGAAACATGATTACAAACCACATGCACACAGACTTACTGAAAATATAAAATTATATACAAGTGGAAAGCAAATCTTTATATTGTTATCTATCGTTATCGTATCATGCGTATAGGAAATGAAAAAGTAAATAAAAATTGAATCAAGTATATAATATTACTATAGTACCTACTGATTTTGATTATGTTTTGATTCTGAACTGAAAGTAAAAACCTCAGACCTTACAGAGATAGTAGACTATCTCTTGGTCTGGCTCACCACACAGTCGGCCCAGCCGAGTGCAGCGGAGACGTGGGCATTTCCATAGCGGGAAGTATTTTGACCCCAAAGAGACAACGGCGACCGCAGCGTCGGCCGGCGCACAGCGCGAGTGCGATGCGTGTGCATCATGTGCACTTGGTTCTCGGGTTCGGGTTCGGCGACGAGACGCACGTCGAGACGGGTCGCTACCCTGTGGGGTCGCGTTTTTGCCGCCGAGGGCACTGTACTGGAATGTCTTGGAATTCATTTTACCGACGTGCACGCTCGTCTGACTCAGACTTTCCGTTCACGTGATAACGTAAAAATAAGCAGATTATATCGCGTTATTACTTAACTTAAATAGCAATCATAGTTTTATGAGTATCAATTTATAAAGCTGCCAAATTTAATGGTTATAGGTAAATATTATCAGCTTATCACAATAACCACCGAAAATTTATTAATCTATATATAAAATAGTTTTGTTAGTTACATCATTTATAACTCCAGAACGGTTTGGTAGATTTTGATGATCTATGGTTTATTGGAATCATCTCCACCAGGAATAGGATAATAAATATTAAAATATAGGAAATTGTGACTTGAAGGGTGTTAATTAAGAGATGAAAATTGATATAGAGATTCTATCTTAATTTTAGCTAATTAATTGAATCAGAAATAGCTCTAAAGTGAATTATTAGCAATTCTGACTTGTTTAAAATAAAATAGCAAATACTATTGAAAAGAAAATAAAAACAATGAAATTTTTACTAAAAACTACGCCAAAAAAGATAATTTAAAGTAAAAAAAAATGTATAACTTCTCATCATTCTTAGTAAAGTTTGCGATTAAATAAAAATTAAAACTTAAACATCCTGACACCAAGCACCAAGGTTGACGCAACCCAACACTCATCGCATCAAAAATGCAATTTGAGTAATTACCACAGCGCACCGCTGCAGCCACACTTTGCATTGTTCTATATCACAGCGAATTAATGCAGTGTATAAATAGCCAAGACGTCAAGGTAACAAAGCACTTTTTTGATTGTAGATCTCATTAGCATTTATAAAAAACAAACGAATTAAAATTGTAAATTAAAGTAAACAAAGAATAAAGCATATTATTAATATGTATTAATAAATATACCGCGATTTCATGCGGAATACGAAAGTGTTGGAATACTAACAAAAAAATCGCACGTGTCGCGTGGCGAAACATGTGTGCAGCTATGTGTGTTACATCCGAACCAGTGTGTGGGAGTGAATTACAGCAGCTGTGTATATTATGTGTGTATGGACAATGTATGACTCGCTTGTGGTAGATTATGTTATCGCACGTGCACACACCAGGTCGACGCAAGGTCGCTGAGGTACAAATATTGCAATTGCACAAATACGAACAACGCACACTCACTAATAGATAGATATATAGATAGATTATAAATTTAATTAGATGTAATACCTAGAAGTACAAATGTGTATCTATTTTATAACACATATGTGTTAATAGTTTAATAGAAATAAAACAGGTTTAACATTTAAAGGTTTAGCCTAAGTTTAGTGAGGTAAAACTAAACTAAACAAATCGGTGTCTCAGTCTGCGTCTGGTCTAATCTTGATTTATATTTATATTTAGCTGAAATGTAACGTGTCTGATTTTTTTATTTGTTTGCCAGAAAACACAAACATGTTGATCAACATTAACCAAGAGTCGAATACTTAATCACAATTCCGATGTAATTTGACGTTCGTACGTTGGATGACTTTTACATTTTTTATATTCGAATTTATTTTAAGTTAAGACTTTGTCTGTTTGTTTGCTTTCACCCAAATTCTTTTGTTTAATTTAGATTTAAAAACAGAAGTCAAATTTGTTATAATTTTGTGAAGTTTGACTTGGCATCACATTTGAGATATGTTTTTCGGTATGTGCTAAATTTCAAAAATCTCAGCGTCTAAATTTAGTTCATTTAAATCCGGAAGTTTTTTCATTTGACGGTTTCACGTCTGATGACGTTCCAAAGACGCTTGCGTTTGATATTATTAGATATTAGTATTTATCTTTGAAATTTTACCGAAGTTTATATATGAATGCTATTTTTCCGTTCAAAACTAATATTTGCACTAATAAACACAAAATATTTACTCTCAGGATGTCGCAATATTACCAAAAATCAAGAAATAGACACCAATTATTTCATGATTAAACCAACACAAATAACTGTATTATTACAATAAATAATTTACATAGAAACATCAACTTCACACTTGTATTCCTTGATATTTTATTCTCCTACGCCTAAAACATTCTGAAACATTTCAGGCGTGTAATATTCAATGACGTGTCATTAAACCAACTCGGAAACTTTTCGTCAGCCAAACGTTGATCTACGCACTGTTTTACGCACCTTTTATAACAAGCACAAAGCCGTACGCAACTACGCATTATTTTTCAATGCCATGACATAATCAATTTGGCAATGAACATATTTGTTCAACTCTCAACTTTACACACATAGTGTGGCTCCAAATAAGCGAGAAAAATCTAGTTTCATCAAGTTTCACAATTGTGCAGCGTTTTTTCCTGCTGCGAATTGATTTTAATCTGGGTACTCGCTGGTCAATGTGCTGACTGTTGTTAAAAGAAACAAAACAGTTACAAACTCACTCGCCGGCTAAAAAAGTCGAACCCGTTATAATAAATTTCAGCGTAAACCGTGCGCCAAAGTTGACTGGAGTCAAGTTGTCTACGGTTATAGTTCATGCACGTGCCAATTACTGTAACATTTATTAGTGTAATTGGTGTTGATGAGAATTGTAATCAATTTATTGATTCTCGCCGAGCCTAACAGCTACATGATACACGCATAAGTCATCATCATTCATCAGGATGTGTTTGATGTGAGTTCGGTTTCTGTGGGCGAAGCGAAATGAACGTTGAACCGGACCGCCGACACCGAAATTGATTAATTTCAGCATAAACGGAGTGGAAAACTACGCACTCACCGACTGCTTTTCTTTGTTCAGCGCGAAATACCGCGCCGTGGTAATTTCCGCCACTGACTCAGGCGAATTCCTAATTATTTTGTTCGTGTTTGCAAAATGAACAATCGCACACATGCGTCAACAACCACGAGCGCATGAATGAATTTTCGACGCGACTGCGAATTTTTTATGAATGTACACGAGACACGACCTATACGATAAGCATAAGTGCAATGTTTAAATAAGGTCAATTAAGGTTAGGTCTGCTGGAAATTTAATGGCGGCCATTTTAGATAACGGTTTTATGAATTTGTTTCGGATATTATTTGAGAGTTTGTGTAAACAATAAACGAAACTAAAAAGGTACGCGAGACGAAAACATGATGAGATGAGTTGGAGTGCTTTATGCAGCAGCTGAGTCGGTGCAACCTTGACAACCCAGCACACACAGCCATGTAGAGAGAACAACGGTGCGCTGTGTATGTACACGCGGACGGCTTGTGCACCAATCGCGGCGTGCTGGCAGTCAGCTGTCCTTGCGCTCGATCAGCTGGCGCGCGTGGCTCACAACCACAAGCAAAATTCACGAAATCTATAAAGCGCATGAGCAGTAACACACCTTCTTGCTTCGTCAAACCAATATGATATGCATCTTCCAGTCCGTTTCTAACGGTCTGACGTCACGGGATTGCAGTCCCCACAAATACAACGGCATGTGTGTAATGTTACAAAGCGGCGAGACTTGTATGGCTGTGTGTGCACGCACGCGCGGGCCGAAAACAAGTGAAACGCGAAAACGGGACGACCCAGGGAGAGAGTAACGATCAGCTGTTATCGAAAGCGCACCGAAATACACCTCGTGCGCATGTGTCTAGCGTCTCGTGCCGATGGCTCTATTTATGGCAGCATCCTAGAGGCGGCTAGCGCCCAGAAAACTCGTCGTTTTTCATTTGTTTGTGTTGCCGGGATGAAAAACAAACCGAAATGTTTGGGCACACGAATCGATACGCGTAGTAGCAGACGCAAACTTTGTGCGGAAACAAAAAAAAAACAACAAAGAACTGCAAAAACTGCGTTTATTAATTAAAACGTAAACAGACGCGACGATAACAACCGGAATTATGGCATTTTAATCGCGATTGCAATATTGCAAATGAATAAAAAAGCAATCACATTTATTATCCGAAACAAGCTCAGCAGCAATTACAAGTTAAATCCTGTTCGCTGTCTGGTTCAGTTATTTGTATAGCATTAAAAACAAATTAAGAGGAAAACGTGTTGAAAGTTGTACTCGTTTTTCATGCGGTTTTTTTTCTCTTGCCTCTATGTTTCTCCTCTGCGGTTATTTTGTTTCTTAGTTTCTGCTATTAGATAGGTGTTAGGTGTGTGCAGTGGCAACGGTTGTGGCTTTGTTGCTAGGCGTTTATTTTTTAGGCATTGAGCAAGCACTACCAGCAACAAGCAGTGTGCTTTTTTATGTTGCGGTTGGCTTTCCTCTCGCTATCGCTTACTGGGCTTATAGAATGTCATCGCCATCGGCGAAAAAACATGGAGGATATGAAAGTGACTGAGGTGATCAGATTATGCATAGTTAAATGTCAATTTTTCTTGTTCGCTTGAGTTGAAAATCAAGAAATTCACATTTCGTAACACATTAAAAGTTTTAATTGCAAAAATTGGAACAGATATCACATATTCTTATTAATAAAACAGCTACTTCTTGTATAATACGGGTTTGTTCCTAATTGAAGGTTTCAAAAGTGTGAAAGTGGAGTAGCACAACTCATTGTACTCGTTTAAATTGTGCATATGTGTAGATATTGTGAAAAAAATGCTGAGAACCGATCGATGGCGATTACGAAATGGTAAAACAATGAAATTTTAATTTCGGATGTTTAGAACCTACAGGTAGACCTAAAATAGGTTTGCTTGTTGGACCTGAGTTGGGTTCCAGCTCCAGATGCTGGAAATAGTGAGAGGAAGCTTTGAGGTCCGGCCCGCTTTGCCCCACACGACCCGCGAACCGTTATCCGTGTTGTACACGCCGCCTTCTTCTCGCACTCGCACCGCCGCTGAATCTGTCTGTTTCGCCTCGTGCTGCACGCGCGATTGCCGCTCGCTGCTAGTTTGACCCACTTTTCGCGAACCTACATTTACATCCATCTATTCCACACCAACATTAACAATTTATTCTGTGTGTGTGTGTGTGCTCGGTACGCGCGCGGATTGCGCGATCCAAGCTTCGGCCCCGTCGACCGAATCAGTTCTTGCAGCATTCGCACTCTGAACGGTTCGAGCCCACACGACGATGGCAACGGTCAATGCGCGACAAACTGAGAATCTTTCTGCTGCGAGCCCCAAGTGCGAAGTGCGAAGCTGTCGTTATATTGAGGAATATAAAAAGTTATTCATTGTGAAAATAAAAAGTTTCGATTAGAAAGAGAATTGATATTAGAAAACGCGGAAGTTGATTAATAAATAAATGTGGAAAACAGCGACATTATGGCTTTAAAAACTCGTCACTGGGAAGTTGGTCTTGTCATTAGTGCGGTTTTCTAAATTGAACCGCTCGCCCGAAAATACGAGTACTTGAAAAATTCGTCGTAAGCAGCTGAAGCGCAACAAACAACGGAAACGAAAGTAAATGACGAAAACGACTCGTTTATTTTATAACACTACAAGCGCAATAAAACAATATAAACTTTACGCATTTGTTTCACTCATTTGTGTTTCACAAACAAGTACACACACACACCATACTACCCATGCTCCAATTTCGTTTATCTTGAAATTTATTTTTGTTCTATCCAAATATACTGAACTATGTGTATCTGAGCTAGAAGGATATAACGTTAATAATGAAAGCTGTTAAATTAATTCATGAATGCAAAGATGCGTGTTTTATTTTAATTAAAATTTCTCTTCAAACGCATCTTTAGTGTTAATTAAGTGTTAGGTTGTCATTTGTCCTTATTAAATTAAATATTATTCCGAAAAAATCGATTTGACTTTAAATTAAATAAACCGAATTTTGTTATTTATTATACCTAATTATTTATTTATTCTAGGTTAAGATTTTTAGCCCCTTTTAAAAAAGTTTTACGAATATTTCTACTTATTTTGGCGAAAAGAATTTGAAGTTACAAGAGTTTTTACTTGCTTGCAGATGCACAGTTCAAGTTTCGACGTGGAAACGCAGCGTTTTTGCAGTGGGGACGGCGGCGGTGGCGGCGACGTGCTTGTCGCGCTGACGGCGCTCGTCACCGAAGGCCGCATCCCCGGCAAATCGGCAGCGGCCAAGAGCCGCGGCTTCTATGAGGGCCCGCACTGCTGCAGCGTGCTGAAAAACAGCAAGGAGCAACACGATTGCAATCGAAATGATGAGTTGGTAAGAGTACTATACTACTCAAACATCAAACTAATCCAACTATGAATGATGATACTAATTCATTTATGATTAATGATCGCAGTGTCAGAAATACGAGCAAGTCCGCAACGAAGTGCTAAACCTATGGCAACGACGCATCCCCCTCTGCGTGGACGTGCTGCTGTCCATGGTCTGTCCCTGCGCCAGCGAGGAAACCAGCGGGGGCAGTGATAAGGACCACCAAAACGAGGATATTCTCTTAGAAAAGTGGTATATTAGCGTCCTACGCAATCGGTAAATATTTCGGAACCGTTACGAGTTATTATGTTCATAATTATATTTAAACAACTTGGTTGTAGATCGTCTGATGTCTGCACGTTTAATTTCAATCAACTAATCAACGCCATCCGCTCACAACTGTACTTTTCGCAAATCTCCGCCTGGCTGTCGAGTCAGGCAGAAGAGGACAAGGAAGGCGCACGCTTAAAAATCTCCAGCAACAATCTGAAATACAATCTCACCATCCCGGGCGAAACCTTCGAGCGCTGCAAGTTCTCGCCATCCATCGCCGTCAACACGCACGACTTCCCGCTAGCCGATATCGGCAACGGATATCAACTCAAAGTAACACTGAAGAGTTTGCCCCGCATGGCGCCACCCACGCTCGATTGTAAGCAGTGTGCGGCCGAAGCTAGCGCGCCTGCGCAAACAGAACCAACGCCTGCAAAGAGTGAAGCTACGGATGAGATGTTTTTGCTTGACGATCGAATGCATCTGAGTTGCACACTCAAGGGCAAACACCGTTGTGAGGATGTGGATGATTTCGAGTTGCGGAAAGAACAACGCGTGGGGAGTTTCAAGCGAGTCTGCTGTTACGGGGAGGCGTCCACATCGAAAGCCGCTGCTACTGCGGGAAATGCGAGCGAAAAACGCAATTGTAATCCGCAGGTGGAGCAATCCCCGAAAACTCCCAAGTTAGACTTTAAGTCAAACGCAGATCTCAAGAAGCAACAGCACCAAAACGATGAGGGTGGTGCGCCAGCGGGGGCGAGTCGCAGCGATGTATTCTTACAAGCCATCCTGCGCAGTTGTCGCCTACAAGACGAGCCCATCTCAAGCACCAGCAGCGGTGATACTACTAGCACTGCCAGCTGCAATCCTAGCTGTAGCAGCAGCCCCCGTGATGTCAAATGTGTTCAAAGGCTGGGCGAGCTGGGCACCCACCTGCTGAGCGGATGCGCACGCGCGCTTCAGAAGAGCGTCAGTGATATAAATAGTGATAAGCAAGCCGACAAACGTGATATAGCACCTAGTTGTAGCAATAGGGGTAGTGGCAAGATAGCGGTGTACGCGGATTGTGATAATGGCGGCGGACCGGCAGCCACCGCCAACACCGGCACCGCCGGGACGAAGAAAATGCGAGATATTTCCAACCTGCAGTTGGCGGTTGGCGACGACAAGCACAAACACGAAAGCAATATCATCGACATACCGTCGCCGAACGCGAAGGCAAAGTTCCGCAAGTCGCTGGACAATGCCGCCAATATGGTGTTTCATGCGCGCACCGGGTTACCACTCACCAGTAGCCCGGCGCCGGTACGCCGCGGGAAGTTCAACTTTGACTTCGATTCCAGTATTAATTCTGTTTCAGATATCAAAAGGTAAAACGCGTGTTGTAAAATCACTGCTTGATCTTATTTAACCCTGATTTTATCATTGCAGTGCATTATTCTCGACAAGTATTTCAACAGACGACGATAGTGAAAGCGATGGCAGTATTGTCTCACCATGCAGCCCGGAAACATACTATCCGAAGAAGCAGCCGTCGCCTGTTAAGCACTATCGACGAAGCAATGCTGCCAATTTATTAGGTACGTTTTTGTACTTAACTTTACCCCAGTTCATGCAAAATTATTTAACTTTTGATTATCCTACCTTGCAGGAAGTTTCGAAGAGTCAGTCCTCAATGGCCGCCTCGAACCGGTGTCCACAGTCCATGGCTTTACTGCCGAGCTCGGCGCAAGCGGCTCCTTCGTACCGCGTCACCTAGTCGTCCCCGTTACAGTCTTCTTCTACACACTCGGCGACAACGATAAAGTCTCATCTCCCTACTTGGTAAGTGCAAGTCTTACAATAAAAAATCTCAAACACTATGCTGAAACTTACGAGTTTTATTTTCTTATGTGCGCAGGGTCATATTAACCTAGGCAAAAAAGGGTACATGGTGCCAAAGACGGGCACGGTCCAAGTGACCCTTTTTAATCCACTCGGCACCGTGGTGAAGATGTTCGTCATTATGTACGACCTTTCCGACATGCCGCCCAATTCGCAGACCTTCATCCGGCAGCGCACACTGTACATGCCCGCCGAGTGCACCGACCGCCACCTCGAAGAGTGGGGCCCCAAGTGGCTGCGCTACCTTGTCCACCTGCGCTTCCTCAGCTCCAAGTCGGGGCGCATATATCTGCACAGCGACGTGCGCATGATTATCTTCCGCAAGGCGGATGTTGACACGGCGACCGCGCACGGCATTGATATGTGCTACGAATTGCGCAGCTTCACGCACATGCCCGCCAATCCGAAGTACTCGCCGCGGAAATAGTCCGCAGCCGTGCATCCGCCATCTTGGTCGACCTCAGAGCCACCTAGCGCACGCCACCACTTATATAGCTGTGCTTCTAGCGTTATTCTCGACTTGGCTTGCTGTTCGTTGTTGTCAATCAAGTCAATCTCTATGTGTCGTCGTAGATATCAATCGGTGGGCAGCGGTCCAACATTGGAATCACTTGGAATGAGAACTTAATCTAGCGAAAAGAGAAAAATATTTATTGAATGGCCATTTATTTCAAGTTTTCAATTGTTTAAATAATTCGTACGAGTGATAAAATATAGCTACTGTCGGAATAAGTGATTACACTTTACATTAATCTTACTTTATTGATACTAAGTTGTTTTTCGTTCTTTTTCTTTTCTTTAATGAATTTAAGTTATAACTCAACGCGGACGTTATGAACTTTTCTGGATGTGAGATTTATAATTTCAAACCTGGAAGAGAATTCTATATTTCTTAGAGAAACAAAGTGAAATTATATATATACAAATATATTGAAAACAAACCAGAAACATATGGAAGACAAAATCGCAAAATGTATTTATTGCGCAATATTTTTATTAGATACCTAAATATATAACACAATAATTACGAAAAAATGAATTATGAACATATAGTAATAAATGTGTGTGGTAGCCAGCATCAACATAAAGGACAAAAACTTAAAACTTGTGCAAGTTATTTTTTATCTCCTCAAACAACTGCTGCTCAATTCTAGCATAGAGATGTTTATCGCCGACGACGTTCAGACTGAGATAGATGTTCTTTTTTAGGCGCTTACCTAAATGATGTACAAGATTCCTGGATTCCTCATTTAGAAAACTACCAAAGATTTGTATGCTTGTGATGTGTGTTGATTGTGGATTTAGGACGGCGTAAGAGAGATCTTCGAATTGTTCAGCGTTCTTTTCATTGACGAATATCATTAGCGAGTTGTTCATCTTTAGAATGTCATATTTGTAAGTCTGTTGGTTGATTTCCGTTGAAAAACAGTGAAGTGATAAGTTGCTGGGCACGAAATTTACGTTTACACGATTAACACTAGAAGGCAAGTATTATATTATATGTCAATCGATTATTTAAATCACAAGACTTACGCCATAGTTGATGTTTTTGTTTATTATTTGTGTTTAATTACTGTTTTGATATAGTTTTTATGTTGGCGGTAACACGATGATTTACACATTTATTTAGAGGTTAAGACTGAAAGTTGCGGAATGCACGTTGGCGAACATGAGTTTGTGGTGTTTCATCGTAGGCAACCAACGACACACCAACAAGTGCAAATTTAATAAAAGAAACAAGATTAACAAAACGTAAAACTAATTAAAATAGGATTTTTATACTTGTCCAATACCGGTTCTACTATTTGCTTAAATTATTAACAACTTTTTTTGTAGTATAAACGGTATAAATACAACTTAAAACTTTGTTTTATTTCATTTGAAGCAAAAAACTGTAAATGAAAGTAACGCTGGTAGAATATTAAACATGCCACCTGAATTTCATCATTAACATCGCGTTGAACCGCATTTTATGCTGGTTTACTCACATCCACGCGCGCTAATTAAAATTCGAATTCGCATCCAGGCATCCGTTTTCGTGTGCGTCGTGTCACCTCGCACTAATTACGCGCGAATGCGTGTACTAAGCCGAGAACGCAGCCAATTAACAATCCGCATGCTTGCAGCAGAAGGGTAACATCTGCACCGCTGCAATCGCATCGTGAATGCTAACGAGCACTTTCCGGAGCTATATAAGCCAAAAATTCGATTTTTACTTTTTATTTCATGTCTTATACGATTACATTCAACAGTCGCGTAGTATTTTTTAATTCAGAAGATTCCATAAGTAATTACTAACTTAAGTTAGGTTGTGTTGGTAAAAATGTTTGAAAAATTTGCATTATTTATTGTGCTACTGATAATGGCACTAAGTACTATTGAATTTGTTCGTTGCCAAGATAATCTCGAATTGCAAAGAATCGAAAAACGTAGTCGTCCGCAAAATGGTAACAATAACGACGATTTCGAAAAGTTTTTCCTTAAAGCATCAAAATCTGTGCCGCGAATTGGTAGACGACGCATTACAGAGCCACCCAGTGATACCAAACGTAAGTTTATTGAAATTAGTTATTTATAGTCTAAATTTTAACAAAAAAATAACACAAAACACAAGAATAAAAAAGTTTAACATTATTCCAATTATTTTACATTTTTATACTTTGAAAGATTATTATAATTAAACTTTTGTGATTTAAAATCCTGATTAAAGTACCCTTGTGGGCCGAACTCTCCGACCTGTACGAGTACAACCCCGAATTATTTGCGTCACCGCAATTACTGGTGCGCTGGCTGGAATATTATAATTCGCAATTACCTCGTGAGGACGCAAAAACGCCAGACGACAGCCTGCCCAGTGGTTGGTCGCCAAAGATGCGCTTCAAGAGGGATCGCATCATTCAGAGCGCGTCTCCCAACGACGAGCTGTATGAATATCGTTTACAACCCTAGAATTATCTCCCAGATGAATACCAGCTACACACACGTATAATCTACCATTATTATTAATCCAATATTTTTGCAAATTGCATAGAGATTAATTGTAAAAAGATAAGAAGTCAGTCGTGACTCGTAAAAGCAAAGAAAAACGTTTCTTTTTTTATATAAATTTAGATAACTTGCCACGTAAAACAATGAATATTTGTGATTTTGTCGTATGAAATAGGTATGTACTGTAGATGTGATTAAAAACATGTAAAAATCCTACAATATTGTGTATACAAGAAACAAACGCCGATTGCATTTGCTATGCATGTACCTACGGTGGGTAGACGCGTCGAACACGTTCGGGCTCGGCCATATTAATCCATAAAAATATGGATGCGCCGCCGCCCGACCAATCGCAAGCCTATCATTAATTACAGTTGTCATGACTACGGCCGCGGAACGTCCAAGGCCGACCAGGTAGAGCGAAGCAAACGCACGCGATACTCTCCCACTCAAGTTTCCAGCAAAAAAGGGGAATCACTTCTTACGCAAACCAAAAGCGAGCGAGCTTTCTAGCATTGGCCATTTCCCACCAGATGGCGCAGCATGTATTAAACTAAGGTTAACTAAAAATTACTACAATTTCGTTTCGTTTACTTTACGCATCTTATTTTAACATAATTTCATGTAATGCTAGGACATTTTGTGACTTTCGAGACGTGAAATAAGTGCGCGTAGGTAAATTTTAGCGATCTTCGCGTCCGAACGCTAAACAGTTAGTAAATTGTTATTAAAGCGCAGCTCACCGGACTAATTACGTGTAATTAGAGTATTAAATTCAATAATCTCGCGGATGTGTGTAACGACGATGCGCGGAGCAGCTTAATGCATTATGTTTATGCACTTTCCGATTACATACTGGATGATAAAATGCAGTGATTAACATAAAACGTCAAAACAAACAACAATGAGGTTAAATATAACCTCAGCAGTAAATATACGACATGGTGGCTATGTCAATTAATAGCAGCCATTGTAAAACGTTTTAATTCGTAATGTTTTACAGATTATATGCTAATAAATCGTAAAATATTGAAGTTCTGCGCTCGCTCGGTGTTGCAGCGGCTTAGATAATCACTTTAATGCAACGCCGGTGAATTGTTATAATGAGTAGACAACGAAACGGCCGACGCATTAAAAATCATCGCCGCCGTCAAACGTCATGTGAGCGTCTTGTAAGCGATTGTAAATGTTTGTATGCGTCATGTAAAAGATGCCAAGCGTCCATCTTGAAATCACGAATGGTTATTATTTATTTATGCGCCGCGTGCGTTTTTCTCAAGAGTTTTCATCGCCGCAGCGCGCAGCGCGAAATCCAAGAATGTAAATTTAATTAATTCGCGATGTTATTAATTGCGGCCGTGGCCGATGGTTTCGATATCGTTTATGATGCGATAACCGAGCGTGGAAAATCGCATGGCGATGAAAATTTGTTCGCGCAGTTATAATCATTGTGTTTTTTATAAAATATCGCTAATTAATGATCGTTATTAACGCGGGCGCTCGTCGGCGGCATTCGGTAATTTTACATGTCTTAGATAATTAAATTGCGCTAAGTTCGGCAAGTTTTAACATAGTATTTTCATATAATTTAACTTTATTTATCGATAAATTATCTTTAAAGTGTAAATTTATGGTAAAAACTGTCATTTTCACAATGAATTATAATAAGCGAATAATTTTTAAAAACTAAATTTAGTTTCTTGAAAAAATACGGTTTAATTTGTTAAAAATGTAAAAATTGTGTGCTTTTTATCAATAAAATATTAAATATGATAAGCTGTCAAACTTAAAATTGCAGGAAACGAAAACAATCGTGAGTATTTCGTGATAACCGAATATTTTACCAAATATTAATCAAAAAAATGTAAAAAATTGTCGATAAGGTGAATTTCAAGACATTTCAATAATATCCAGATATCTAACTGCAACCTGCCATACCCACTTAGCTATATTCAAATATGGTTATGTTTAACCAGCTTTGACGAAGAAGTCGACTGTCGGAAACGAGTCGGAAACTTCACGAACGCGTGGAAAAATTAATAAATTCACTCGAGAATAAACGCAAACCAAGCACAACACAAACGCTACATCTATATAGCCACAAATGCACAAATAAATACACGATTACGTATTTATTTATTACGTCGCGTTCGTCACACAGCGTCGTTTGTGTTAAATCGTAAACATGCGGTTAGTCGATTTACTCTCTATTTCGCAACACTGAAGACGAACACAAACAATACGCGACGCCTTAGCGCAGAAAAATATGCAAGCAAATATTATACCCATACAATATACCAATCAAAATGGCCGTCAAACACATTCACACAAACAATCGACAATCGAGTATCAAACGTTTGCCATTTTGTTTCAAGCACACACTTTGGGAGTCAAGACGTTGGGTGACTTCGACTTCTTGGTATTGTTCTCGTGGCGCACAACGCGCAACGCTTGCGAGGAAAGCAAAAAGCAAGAGAAAAAAGCGCTGGCGTTTATAAAACGTCAATTTTCAGGTAGATTATCGCGCTAAACGTCGAAACAGCGGCGACACACGCTGCGCTCTGCGATGCGATGCGTTACGTCGACTCGCGAAATGACTTTGAAGAACGCACAGCGAATTAAAGCACATTAGCGTTTTGATTTCAGCGAGGACCAGCGCACGCAATGTCGAATTTCATTGAAAGATAAATTGGAATTATGGCAGTCTATAAAAAATAACATATTGCGTGCAGAATACAAAAATATAAAAAATTTTTGTCAATTTTTTGAAAAAAAAAATCTATTTTAAGAAATATTAAATTTTCATGTGATAAATAAGTGAAAAAATATGATTTATATAATTTTAGCATAAAAGTGATAATTTAAAAAGCTAAAATGTAAATAAATCATAATGAAATTAAAGTTAAAAGTGGATTAAAATTAATTTGCGTAATTTTTCACTTAGCGGTCTGAAATTTTAATAAACCGCCGAACAATAGTCTCGCCTCCTTCAAATTGTAAATAAATCCATAAAAGTACACGGCTAAAACAACAAAAAAACAAACGGCACACGAAAATTGCGCCACCGAAACCGGCAATTAAATCGCTCGCGTTCAACAAGTCGCGACCGTCGACTCGTCGCATTTTCGAGTGTGAATATCCACTATGAATAAATCCGGTCCTTGATATATCACATACACACACTTGTCTATCGTTTCGGTATTCTGTATTTGTGCGTGCGTTTATTATTTTTTTCGTGTACTGTCATGGATTGCCGGCCTTCCTGCGCCGAAAACCAGAAGCGAAACGAAACGAAACAACAACGCAACAAGACACAAGCAGCACCAGCACCGAAAAGTCAAAGCCTTCATGCTCTTCGCTTCCTTCGCTTCTACGCGTACGAGTAGCTCTCCTCTGACGCGGATGGCTCCTTCATAGACAATTCTTTTCTTTTGATATCTCGCGCGCACAACCGACGTGTTCGTGCGTTCGAATTCGTTTCGTGCGATGTGCGCTGCGAGCGTGTTGGTGACTTGTATTGTCATCGTTTTTTTTTTCGTTTCGTTGTTCTATGTTGTATTGTTTCTTGTTTCGTTTCCATGATGGTGTTGTGTTTTTTTTTTGTGTGGTGCTGGCGATGTTCGTTGGTTGGTTCGCTTCGTTCCGTCGCGCTGCACAACAATCGAAAACGTAGATAGACGTGTAGTGGTATAAGAAAACGAGAGAAGGAACCGACTCGCTGACAATCGCGATCGTAATTATCGAATCAGAAACAATCCACACCTCTGCTTTTCTGGCTTCAATTGCTGATGCCGTTATAAATCTCAAGTGCGCAAGTTTCACGGAATTGCAGTAAAACGCAGAAAAAGTGGTCGAAAAATTGAAATTCGTAAATTCAGAAACAAAAATTAATATTTTTATGATTACTTGAAAATCTAAAAAATAAGTAAATTATTTTGATTTATTGATAAAAATTATAATATTTTGTATTTTTTGTACTTAAAACAACAAAAAACTGATAAGTAAAAAATCAAACTTGAATTTTGCTTTATCCAAAAATTAGAGTCCCAAAAAACTACGGCGTTGACAGTTATACCGGCCAAAGAAAAATCGTGTAATTCATGTATAATCAACCAAATTGTCCAAACATTTTGTAAGTATCTAAGCAAACCTCAAAAAAGAAACATTAGCGAAAGAATGGCCGCATTAAGAGCGCGTGTGCATGCTTCCTCCAACATCAAACTTTTTGTCAACTTCGGTATAATGTTTTATTACATTTATTAGGCACTACTACTTTGTTACAATATACCATCCTTTGTTTTTCCGACGCAACAAAACAAACAAAAACCTAGGTAGCGCTTTGTAAGCTTTTTTTACTGCAACACCAAAAAACTAAATAAATAAATAAAGTACCTAAACGTAACAAAACTTTGTACTTATCCGCATACTCATAGGCTTCAATAAAAGGGTGTGAAGAAAAGGGCATTGTTGATTTAGTAAATCATTTGAACAAAGATATTATCCGGTTGTCTCGGCTTGTAGAGCCAAATGATAAATAATTATTTAACGAGGATTAACTGGCGTGTAATATGCACGTGACGCGCGTCGACTGCGAAGGGTGGCGGCGAGTGGTGTGATAATGTGCGGAGTCACCGTTCAACTATTTATCATTTGGTTTTCTCGCTGGATTCTCCATGCCGACCGTGATCAGAGTTCCAAGAGTTTCAAGCAAAACCGCAAACAAAGTTTTCTTATTTTAATTTATACCACAACCAAAATAAAAACGAAATATTATATTTCTTAATATTTTATCATTCCCCAGGGCATCCGCATTTAAAACAAGTCAAAATATTTGATATTTCAATTGCCAAAAGTTATAAATGAATAAAAATTGAAAAATCTCTGCAAAGTCATTGCTAAATCTTAAAATATTACTTTTAAGTTGTTTTGAAGATGAAAAAAATGCACATTTTTCTTAACATAGATGTAAACCAATAATAAATGAAGATATTTAATGAAAAAGATGAATTTGATGACTAAATATTCTGATTATCATTCGCACGTCATTTATCAACTTGTGACTGATTCTAAATGATTTATGCATGTTTCGCACACCTATTGGCGACGAAGCGACGCGTCCAACTATCGCGTACCTACACATGCGTCG